CTTGATTCTTCTTAGCTCATGACCATGTCATCACTAACATGGCGTTCGTATATGGACTAGTGCCACGGCCAAGCCGGTTGGGCTTATTATGTGGCTCCGCTGTCCGTCCTGAGCTTGTCCTCTTATTCTGGCTTATCCTCGGCTTATCCTGGGCTTATCCAGGGCTTACCCTGGGCTTATCCTCGGCTTGCCCGGGCTTAGGTTGGGCTTATCCTCGGCTTATCCATAAGGGCTTAATAGACCCTTAATAAGGTGTTAGTAAGGTCTTACTAAGGATATTTGAGGGTTGTTAATCTCTCAAGAAGAAACGTGGGGTAAAAGGGCTCTTTGAAAAGCCTAGACTCACCCTCCTGAGAAGCGTAGAGCGCACCAAGTGAAAAAAACACTCGCTTGTGATGGAAAGACTCTTGACTACCTGACACCTGTCAATGCGGGTCACCCCACCAAAACAAACACGTAAGACCATTAGCCACTAGTAAAGGGCCTAGCAAAAACATGCTTTTGTAGCTTCAGGGCCCCCTGAGGGATCTGCTGCTTAAGCTTGGATAAAGAAACCATCTTATTATTGCCTTCTTCAAATCATTAGGGTCTTAATAAAGACTTATCCATTTTTTGTGCATACGTTTATTAAAATCATGTTAAATCCTTAATAGGCCTAACAGAAAATATGATTAAAGGTTTATTCAGAGAAAGCACCACTACACCCCAATGCTGTGATTGTGCGTGATTAAAGTAAACCCCCCCGATAGCCCCCCCTGGCATTCCATGAAACTGTGCATTTTGTGGCGGAAGGGGGGGAGGTAGACCATGGTAGACCGTAAGTTACTGTAGACCCATGTAGCTCACTGCAAGAAGAAGCTCTTGCAAAACATATTCGCGTGCGTGCCACTTCCCCGAGTCAATGTGAAGCTGGCGATTTGGCCCGCTTGCATCCACTGAAACTTGTCCTGCGCCCATGGGAAGGAAAGGACACCCCTTTCGTGTCAGTTGACCTTCAATGCAACCCAGCCAAAAGAAAGCGCATGGGACTGGGCTGGGAAGTCAAATGTCCAATCCAGAACTCTTCAAATTGCTGCAAGCGTCGAATGGACTTTTGTGGCGTGGTCGTTCTGAGCTCCATCTATGGCGGACTGGCAAAACACGCCTGGGAAGGCAAGAGTGCGAAGGCAACTGCAAACCGCGGCGAGCAAAACAATTAGGTCGTAATTGGTGATGCGCTGACTGTTGCAATATCCTGCTCGACGAAATCAGACGATCAACATGTCACCTGAACCAAGGAAGCCACAAACCAAAACGGGCGCTGTGGTCCATTGACAGCAAGGTTCCAAGAATCCCCGTGTATACATCAAACTACAATAATTCACAAACTGAAATAAATATAAACATGTGACACGGTCACGCTAAACATGTGAAGAAAACATGGATGCAGACGAACCAGACAATGGGTGAAACAAATCAGAGCTGCAGCTGCAGGCATGTAGGAAGATGTTGCACCCCCCCCCCCGCCCTACCGAGCAAGCAGAAACCTCCACATAAAGGGCTGCGACACTTACAGCGGAGGCAGATTTCTGAGTTCGAAAGGTGTCAAAACTGAGAGACCCGCCTCTCCAAATGGCGAGATTCCTTTGGTCTTCCTTTTGACTTCCTTTTAACTGCTAGCATGTTTGGCAGCTTCCCGTGACACTTGTTTGCCTGTCGCTTTGAAGCCAAAGCAGAGCTATGGTCATGACACAACTTGCTCTTGACAGCCTGCTCGTCTGTGCCACCTAAACACGTCGTGCAATCGACTCACAGCCATGCACAAATCCTCTGCATACCGCTGCCCTGCAATCGCTCAAGAAGGGTGCCAAATACGATGTTTTTGAGGATGCATACGTATAATTACCTAAATATGTACAGTGCCTATGTATATTATATGTCGTTTGTGTATATGATCCCCAGCCCCCCCCCCAAAAAAAGGTATGGGTCCCGGAATCAGGGCGGGGGTAAACTTGCCACACATCTTAGAGGGGGGCGGGCGGGCTTCTGTCGAACTGTGCTACCTTCTTGGCTCTTGACTGAGCATGACCAGCTGTCCCCATTTTTAGAAGGGGGGCGGGGAAAAAGAAGAAGAACAAACGCGGACCCTCCACCCATGCACCCATCCCACAGGGGGGGCAAGGGGGGGGGGTTGGTCGCACTGCGCTACCTTCTTGAGCATGACCATTGGGGGGGGTCAATGAAGACCGGAACATGTACATATATGTATGTCTGTATGTACGTATGTATGCATGTATATACTTACATGTATACATATACTCCTTTTCAGGGTCGTAGCAAACCATCTCTTTTCTGGGGTATACGACAAACACATCCTGATAGCCTCTAGGACACCCCGGACACCCGAGCAATTGCCTGTCACCACATTGAGGACCGCGAAATACGCGAAGCCTCGGGGCTAAACGACGAATGTTGGAGTGCTCCACCATGGTGCCGACGAGGGTGGTTCGTCTTTTTAGTGGCTGTTTTAAGGGGAAACCAAAGGAACAACAATTCCTTTTTTTGGGGGTCCTCTCAAAAACGATACACCCAAATAAGAGTAACAAACATCAAACGTCCTTACGTGCCATTTACAGAATCACGAGTGAGCACAAATGAGCATTGGTTTTTTAGAGGTTCAGGGTCTATACACTGCTAGGGAGGCTCCTCGGGGGCTTCGCGGGGCCAGAATTCGTGGAAGGGTTGGCTTCGCGAGGCTTCGCGGCAAGACTGCGGCTTCGCGGAGTGGCTTCGCCTGGGCTTCGCCGGAGTTCGAGGATGCTTGTTCCGCAAACATCGCTTACGTTTGGGCGCTCATTCAAGTTGAGTCCATGCGAAAGGGGGCGATGAAAGGCGATAAGAGAGATATTGAGCTTCAGGACTAGGGAACACGGCTGGGCCTCAAAGGGGCGGAGCATGGAAGTTGGACAGCGGCGGCTTCGCGGAGGCTTCGCAGAGGCTTCGCAAAAACATTCCATCCTTTCTAGCAAAACCGGGCCTGAAACGCACAGTGCTCTTCCGGTCGTCTTCCTGTCGTCTTCTCATAATCTTCCGGCAGTCTGACTGTAATCTTCCCTTCTGGCAGCCATCTGAAAATGACTCTAAACATGAACCTTTGGCATGCTACTGCCGTAACACACACACACACCAACCACGAAGTGGCTTCGCAAAGTGGCTTCGCCTCACACAATGCATCACACAAGTGGCTTCGCGGACTTTTTGGGAGTTCCCCACGAAGCTAAAATCCATCATCTGAGAAAAACAACGCTTCTCAAATGAAGATGATGCCATGAAACCAACTGGATTCTTGGGGATGTCTTTCTTGAGTGTACCCTTTTTGGAGAGGGTCCAAGGGATTTCAGAGGGGAGCCGCCCAACTTCGAACTCCTTCATTTTAAGACAGACCCATTGGGGAAGAAAGGAGTGCTATTGACCAACTGCCAAACATGGCAAACTCACTCATGGCTTTCAGGTTTTGATTGGGAAACCAGAGCGCAAGGTTTGACAATGCAAGAAACGGCGCTCAAACAGTTTCGCAGGTTGTGACCCTGCAGATTGACATCCAAGAAGGTCTCAAAGGAGATACCTCTTAGGCGATGGTGGTTGTTGCCCCCCTTGCCAAAGAGGACAACCGAATCGCTAAAGGTCTGGGTTGCACATTTGGATATGTGCCCAAATCTAGTGATCCCTAAGATGTTTTTGTTTTCCCTTTGATCTCGCTTTGAAGCAAGCTGAATTGTCCAACTCCTCAGACACACACACACACACACACACAAGTGTCTGGTTGAGTTGTTCAGTGGAGGTTCCCCACACATGTTTAACCAAAAGCTAGGTGAAAGATTGAGGTCTGCTGTCAGAGAAGCTCCCGAGCCGCATTTTGAAGCAACGGTTGGCCAAGTTCCAGCGAGGCTCTGATGTAGAAGAGGAAGATGAAGACCCATGCCATGGAGATGGCCTGCAGAGGCGCCAGCACCTCCTCAGATCCCAACGCGAACTCGCGCGCGAGGCGGACGCTCACAGGAAAACAAACCAGCCCAGCATCTTCCCAGCTCACCCCGCTGGTGATGCTCATGAAGAGGCCTGAGCGCAGGAAGCTAGAATGCCCAGAATCGATTAAACATGGCGACGGGGTGAGAAAGTCAAACTGTAAGAACATCGACCTAGCTCCAGGAAGTGCGTTTGGACAAGCTTTGCAAATCCTGACTCAAGGCAAACCCAACCGTATTCCAAACCGTCGGGCCAGCCTTTACCATCCCTTGTGTGGGTGTCGTGTATGTGGCGGGGCTGATTCAGACACGCTGAGAGAGATACTTGTGGGTCTGATCCTGCCAAGGAGCTGAGCATGGTCTGCATCATGCTGCCGTAGTACCGCTGGCTGTTGTCCAACTCCCGCTGGCTCATGGGCCCGGAATCACTCAAATAATCGTTGACAGCCTGCAGGCCGGGCTCTGTACACGCTTCACGGGCTCAGCTCAAGAGGCGCCCAATTTGCTAACAATGACCAGTGGTTGGATTGGTTGTGGAAGATCAGTTCTTTCTCACGCAGCTTCTGACATTTGATGTGCATCCTCTGGCAAGCACCCTTAACCATGCAGCTATATCCAAAGTACATGCCGTAACAACGACCTGGCTCACATGCATCGGAAAGGCGCCTGACGACCCAAGGCACTGGCTACATCAAAAAAACACAACTGGCGCGCACATGTTGGTGTTTACAGACATGATCATGACAGATGCAAGTCATGACGCTGCCAACTCAAACGAGCGTAGATCCTGTTGATGTAACGCTGTTGCTGGCTTGCAAAGGCACAAGGAAATGCAAAAGATGTGCTACAATCTGACGCGATAGCAGTAGGACGATGACATGCTGCAGTGAGCTCCACACAATCGAGTTGCAACAAGATATAAGGTGCATATTTGTTGTGTAACTAAGGTGCGGTTATATGCATTGCCCTGGCTGGAATCTTCCAAAGTTGCCGACGCCGAAGGTGGTTCGCAAAGATTCCATGTAAGCCGACACGCAGGCGCTGGTTGCTCACCCAAGAAGATAGGAAACAAATTACCAAGCCGCAGCCTCTGGAAACAAATCAAATAGTTCTTCGCGTTGAGGTGCTGTTGCAACATACCCTGTAGCTCATGGAGCGGTTGAGGAGGGAACAAACATCACACACACATCATGAATGAGGTTGGACAGAGCGCATGTCAAATGCAACCACAAAACCCGAACATGATGTGTCAAAACGAACACCTTGCTGTATGATGGCAATATGCGGACATACAACCTGCACAACGTACACCGAAGCAAAACAATGGGCAATGGATGGTTCTGGTGGTAGGGCTTCAATCTGCATCGCGTGGCACCAACGTAAGAGCAGTCCCACACAAAGATATGATTCAAGCGCTATTCTCGTGCAATAGATCGGGTTCCATAGAAACGCCTAGACAATCTGGCCCTAAAAAAGGCGTGAAGTTCACGTGCTTTCAATGCCTGAGGGCTAATCAACCTCTCGTCAACTTCAACACGGCCACCCCCTGGCCTGCGTAAAAAGTACAGCGAATATGTACACAATGAGGATCAGCAGTGCCAAGGCCCAAAATAGGGACTTCCTTGGTTTGCGCGTTCAATTTGCGCCTGTCGCCAGGCATTCAAGGTACACATCCATGGCTGCGCTGATTTGCCAGCTAGTCCCGAACAGCAAAGTTTGACCATAGTAGTCAGTGCCAGCAAGACACAGTCAAACAATTGCTGTTTGAGGTTGAAACAAAGCCGGCCAGCTAGGCAGCTGGCCAGCATGCGTATAGCTAGCTAGCTAGTCAGTTCCTTGTCGTAGACAATGAAAGAGCTGTTTAGACCTTAGTCAGTCAGCTTGTCTAGACAGCCAAAAGGAGAGCAAGTTGTACATGGGCATGTATTTTCCGCGGTCACTTTGGCCTCATGGAGGGCCAACACAGCAACCGGTCCTCGCATTTTGACACATGCCTGTACGGGAGTTGATCTAATATCCTTCCTGCCGGGATCCGCGATCTTCTTCGCGAGTCTGCCCTAACTCCATGACCCTGCCCTGTGTGGAAAGAGCTGTTGCAATTATGATTGCGAACGCAGAAACCACACCGCCTGACAGCAGCTTGTCATCCTGCCACTCACTGCAACAAAGGCGTGCATTCGCGCGGGCGCAAGCAGTCACTACCCAGAGACGGACATTTTCAGTTGGCTTGAACAACCAATGGACAAACACCCTTCTGCCTTCAGTACCGTTTTTGTGCCTGCTACGAGGCTTAGTGTGCTCTAAGTCCAAGCTGTCGACGTGGCCACGCAACACTCATGTAGAAGAGCAGGCAGAATGCATTCTCTGCTGCGCATGTTTCACGTGCTTCATCAGAAATGAACTCAAGGAGCTGATAAATAGAGCTGGCAACGGTGGTATCTGCGGCGTGGCTCGCTGTTCTCCTTGCTTCCAAGCGCTCGTAGTTGCTTCGTGGTGTGTCTGCTCGAGCGATGGACTGCGTTCTCGGCCTTCATTGCGCGACGACTTGTGTCGAAAGACGCGGCAGCCCAAGAATGTCATCTTTCCGATGGGCACTTTGAGCTTCTCTCTCCGGTCAAAAAACGACGAAAAACGTATACCCGGTGCAGGGACCTGACACGCCGGAAAGCCGTGGTCAGTGGGTCAGCCAGCTCTCTCGCAGACCAAACAAGCGTGCTCACAGGCTTTACCATTGGACCATATACAAACAAAGTGGCATTGCTTGCCGTTTTTTGCTACCAACACGAACGGTTTTCAGGCTTCCATCCATGTTCTCAGCTTTCCAGAAAATACGTGCCTCCGACGCATCCCTGCTTTCCTATGTTTGTGCAAGCAAGCCTTCAGAAAGTAAACAATCCAACAATCCAGCGTATTGTTGCTCGCCGATCTTTTTCGGATGTGCCCAGCCAACAGTATGAACTGTTCACAGCAGGAACCGATGCGCCCTGTCAATTTATGCTAGCATACAACAATCTCATACAATCTCCATTTAGCAATGCTACGTCTATCGCAATCGCAGGATCTCTTTTGCAGAATCCTCCGCGGACATTTCGGGGAAACACAACAGCTTGCAACGTGTTGGTCTGCTGGACCAAAAGTCTTTAAGTAGGGTCAGAATCAACGAGTTAGCCAGTTGGCCTGCCGTTTGGCCGGCCGACTGGCCGGCGAGTTGGCTTGCCAGTTCACCAAATAGTCAACCAGCTTGACAAGAGATGCAGCTAGCTACCCAGATGGCTTGCTAGCAGTTCTTGAGCGGATTAAACAAACTGGCCCTAGGCTAACTAGTATTGAGTTCGTCTAAGTAGTGATTTCGTCAGTGAAGCACGGCCAGTCAATGAGCCAGCTAGTCTGTTTCTTTGCAAGCAGCTCGCTCATTCTACGTTAGCTAGTTGATAGGGGCGCTAAGTGGCTAGTGAGAACAGACTGATATTTGGCCCCGCCATGAGCACAATACTTGAAGGACAAATACAGATAGCTGTCATGGGTTCAGATCTCGCACGCAAGTCATCAATTCGCGATTGCACGAGTAAGTGGAGACATCAACCCCCCAGCCCGGAGGGCACGCAGGATGAACCAAAGGCCCGCCTGATTTATCCCTGAACTAGGGAGCCCACTTTTTTTGGGAGCACCCCCACTTCACTCTGGGCCAGGCCCAAGCACTTTAAAAGAGTGACACAGCTAGCAAAGTATTGCCAGCTGACTTTAGCAAGCACCACGTCAAGAACCTCCGCTTTTTGAACAGGTTGCCGCCCATCACTTTCTGGTCGAGCTAGCCAAAACAAGTCACAACTTGTCAGACACCAGGAAAATGAAAAGCGCAGCGAAAGCGGGGTGGGCCCAATCGCTGACTCGCTTTGCTGTAACGCTTGATTCAGCCAACAAAATCGTCAACCTCAATTAATCAGGCGCCAACTAAAACCATCGGAACGAGACCCACGTCTCACCTTGGCAATTCCTGTTCGTGAGGCCCCTTTTCGCTTTGGGCCTCTGTCCGAGGACGAACAACCATTGGATGAGCGCGGGGGGCGCAACAGGGAGTAGCAAAGTCCGAGCAAGACCGCAAAGCGCCCTAAACGGTCATTGCATCATCCCCTCTAACGGTCCAAAACCAATCACTCACACAGCCTTTAAGCCCCAGAAACCACCCTGAAGCAGGGACCCTCACCAAATCGCCAGGCTTCAGTGTGTGCATGATGGAGGTGATAAGCATCCGAAAAGCCATCACGAATCTGAAGACCTTCGCCAAGCGCACCGTTTTCACCTTGGCCATCTGCGAATCTGCGGATGTTCGCATCATATGTGCTTAAGCCTGTTTGCTCGTACGGGTATATGCACCTGCGCTTGCAAGCAGAAAGGTCGACTGGCCTCATGGTATGTAGATAGGCAAGTACAACATAAAGTCACAAGCCCATCCTCATGCGTGGCAAACTGCACTAAGCCCACCCTTGCGGTGAGACATGCTGTCTCTTAAACCAGGGGCCTCTGAGCGCCTTTCAAGGGGGCATTTCATGAGGCACGGGGCTACATCATTAAACACATCTCTCTATTTGCTTTTGAACCTCCCCAGAACAATGTTCGTCTGGGCTCTTGTAGTTTCCCCATCGAGGCTTCCTGGACCGAACGTTCGGTCCGGAAGCCCGCGGAAACGCTCGCAACGACATGGCCCAGTCGCAAGGCGCGTGATGCGGATGATGCGCATGGTCTTCAGGCTGGTGACGCCTGGCACCGGCCGACAGGTGTCTGCCCACGCGCCACGAAGGGAAAATGGGAGTGGCTGATAGTTGGTGATTGACTAGCGCTTGGACACTGACTAGCTACTGGCTAAACATTGGTTAGATGATGATGGTTAGGCAGTCGCCAAACGATGGTTGCTAATGCAATAGTAGGTGGATAGTAAATAGTGGCTAGATCTTGGTTGGACATTGATTAGATAGTGGACATATAGTGTCTAGATTCGTTAATCGTGGATTGACACAGATGAGACAGTGGCTACAGGCTACAGGGTTTAGATAGCGGCGAGGGAATCGCTGGAGAGGGGTTTGAGAAAAATCGCAGAGTTGTCAGATGATAATACTGATTGAAGTATTGTCAGCTATTGCTTTGATAGCGGCCAGGTAGTCGCTAGATAGTGGTCTAATAGTGGCTAAATAGTGGCCAGACAGTGCCTAGATAGTGGGTAAGTGCGGTTACAGCGATTAGATAGTGGCTCGAACGTGGTTAGACACTGAATAGATGGTTATATACACAGCATCATCCAACACATAAGTGCCAAAAACCGCTTCTACTAACATGGTAAGAAAGGCTATGGGCCTTGCTTACCATTGCCCTGCCGCTCAAGCAAAGGGATGGATCCTCATGGTTGTCAGGGGCCCCCAAGCACCAAAAACAGCCAACATCTACTAAGCCCCCGCAACATCCGTGCGACATCTCCTTCCTGGCATGTCCCCCAATTGCATGCATTTGCTAGTCTTCAAGGCTGTTTTCTGGCATGGGCTTGGAGGTATGAAGGTATAACAAGTGTATACCACTTATACAACGATATTTACTGCCTTACAAGCTTTTACTCGCAAGTTAATATGAGCATCCTACCTTTGAAACCCATACCCTCCACGCTCCCAAAATCATTTTTTTGGGGAAACCTTTTGAATGCGAGACAACACACCGAGGCCCTGCAAATATCCAAAGTGACTTAAGTGTCCAAAGCAAAGAATTGAGCTCCGAAACCGCCGGGAAAAGGGAAATCCGTGAAAGACAGTCTAGGATTTGCGCTGGAAGCCGCAAACACCATTCTTTTCCCGATTTCCGGGAACCTGCACATGGGTTTGTCTCAAAATTCGGGGACCCCAAGAAAGGTTGGTCTCCTCTTCCTTTGATAACAAAAAGGCGGCCGTGAAGAAAAAGAAACACTGGTGAGAAAACCCATGGGGTACGTTGAAATCCCCAAAAAGTGGTCCCAAACGCGCGAAGTCATCTCAACCAAGGATCAGAAGGGTTGTCTCAAAATTCGGGCAGCCTCCCTCTTAGGTTCCCCAACAAACCAACCTCAAAATGGGTACCTCCAAACACGAAAGACGTTTGACTCATTTCACCCTTCACATGGCAGGGCGTCGGTCCCCAGCCTTCCGGTGCCTTCCTGCTGTTGAGTTGTTCAGTACATGGGGTGGTCTTGAACCCATTACGACAGAAACCACCTGGCAGGAATACGGATTGATGTTGATCATTAGCCCAAGCCATCAAGGCCCCTTCTCTCGAACGGACGGATTGGATTTCAACCCTTGACCCATTGGAAGGGCATCCCCGAATTGCGGAAGCTCTGAATCGGGGCATCTGGCCTGAGACGCCTTGCAAGTTGCAGGAGCCGCCATCGATGCCGCAGACCAACTGGACCACCACCTTGCAGTAACCAAACCAGGCGCTGCGTCCACTCCACCAACCAAGGACTGACTCAAGATCTGAACACTTTGTTCAACAGTCTCAACCTTGTTTACAACTTGTGACATGCCCAACCCAGCTCTTCCATTCAACGTAGCTGGTCGAGTTCCTTGGACCAGTTGAAAACATGGCGAAGGGTTGCCTGAGATCAAGCTGAATCCTGCCTCCCAGAGAGAGAAGAGCACAATGATCAGGTCCTGGAGGTGGATATCATGGGGAAAGTGAGCGAGTGAGCGACCCGAAATCAAGCAACAGCAGCCACACTCAACCACCACCACCAGAACAACCATAGGTGTTTGTTTTTTTGGGGCAAATAGATGGGTTTCCCTGGTAGAGGATTAAACCACCAGGTAAACCAGGAATCGTCCTCTATTTTTCGACCAAAACAACCAAAAAGGACACCTATGAGAACAACCCAAACCCCACACCGCAAACCTCAAACCCAAAGCCCAACCGCAAGCCCATACAACGAACCCCCACACCCCAAACCCAAACAACAACATCAAAACCCAAACAACAAACATCGAGCCCAAACCACAAAACCAAACAACACACATCAAAATCCAAACCCACAACCCAACAACAAACCCAATCAACAAACATCCAAACCCAACAACAAAGCCAACGACAAACATCAGCAACCAAAAGCAAAAACAACTCACACAGCACAGGCCAAACCATCGCCCCCCTCCCATCGGCCCCCTCCCATCGGCCCCCTCCCATCGGCTCCAGAAATGCCCACATCCAATCTTCACTCCAGAAGAGGCGTGGCCCTGCGGCGATGAGTCGCAGCACCAGCTCCGCCTTCCGACTTCGACGACTTCGATTCGGAAGACCAATCGAACTCGACGATTCACAGTGCTCCAAAATTGAATTCCAGCTTCCCTCCAATCGGTGGTTTGGATTGGTGATTTGGATTGGTCATTTGGATTGGTTGGGGGGTGGTTTCCCATTGAGCCTCCACAAGAATCCGGGGCTCGAACGCCCAAACCACCAATCCAAACCACCAATGGAGGGCAACCTGATGTTCATAGGAAACTATTCTGGCAAAGAAGCATTATGTTGGCCTGTTGTTTGTTTCATGTAGTTGGACCTCTCAAAGGGGACTCAATCTGAGACTACCGCCCCTTTGCGCCGGGGGGGGGTTTGAGGCAGCTGATTAGTGACCTCGGGCAGTTTTTTCAGCGTGCGGCGGAGAACTCGATTTCCACGTTGAGCCACGGACAATATGATACACGGGTGTTCTTTGCTGGGGGACCCCCTCTAAATGGTGGCTCTCCTTCTTGGGTTTCCAGAAAAAAAACAAGGGGTACCCTCGAAAACATACACACCTGTACTGTATGGTTCAATCGAGGCTGTCCTAAAGGGTAGTGTCTCCGAATGGACCATTGCTCACATAGCGAGGGAGCGAAGGGAGCGAGCGACCCAAGGGAGCGAGGGATGAGGATAAACTTATGTAGTTGTCTTTACTCAGATGACCGGGCGCCTGGGAGGTGTTGAATGGAAGGGAGCCCTTCTTTCATTAGGAAGCTGGTTGAAAAGGGTCAAGGGGTGGTGAACTAGATGGAAAAGCCTCAAAGCTTTGTGCTGTTGGTCATGGGGCTTATCAAAGGAAGCGCTTTAAGATCGCTCTTGGAACTCGTCCAAGACATTGTCCAATTCTGTTGGACAAAAACCTATACTTAACCTGCATTTGCCATTAGGTGTCTTGTTCTTCCCCAGCCTTTCACGGTCAAATAAAATCGGCATGTGTCCCAGACCATGCCAGAACAAGAGCTGTACGAAGTCGTATGACCAAAGAAAAGCCGTACTATGGGCTTTCAGGTTTTTGAATGGCCCCAAAAGGGACAGGCTAGAATTTGAGCAACTTCTACATACCAAGCATGCCACTTCCCACGTTTGCAACCACGTGAAGTGCCCTCTCTGGAGGGAGTACCTCCAGCCCCGGTTGCCTCTAATAATACGGCGTAAGGAAACGCAGCCAGGAGCCACCTTCCAAGCTTGACTGTGGCAATCGTTGATACCAGACTGCCTTGTTTGGTAAGGCGCACAAGCAAAGCTTTGGAGCGCAGTCTGGGAGTGAATGCTCATGGCGACCTTTGGGGTTGAACCACAGCTGTTGCACCCCCCCTTGCAAAGGGCCCAAATGAGCTCCAAAACTAATTTTGTTGAGCTTCAATGACCGGCCGCCGCTCAAACCAGCAACTGGCCCTATACTGGCCATGTGTGTTTCTTCATGCTTGGCAAAATAGTCGAATCCCAAGCGACAATGCATGCATGCAAAAATCCACAGTCAAGGGGTCACACAATACAGGAGCTGGTCCGATGTTATATCTCTTGTGCGAAAAGCCGTGACAGGAAGGACATCACCAGGGATGGCTCGGGGGTCACTTCCCCGTTCCCTGACAACCAGCAACCCAGACCAAAAATTGGCCACAGTTTGGCAAAGAACATGCACTAGAGGTCTGGAGCGAACATGCACGCCAAAGCGCTGTGAACAGCGCTGTGAAGATCCACTCCGCCACTTTGATATACAGCAAGGTTTGGCCAGGATGGTTCAAGGTCATCCTAAGCTCAGTCAGGTGCCCACCAACATGGAATGTCTCCAAAGGCTCGCTTCTGTTTAGTGGACAATGGTTTTCCAGGAACCCCCCCCCGCTTCATGTTAGTTGGATGGGAGGGCTGGCGTGTTTCTCTTTGCCTTATCCTGGCAAGGGCTTGTTAAAACCCTGGCACGCTCACTGAAGACTCATTCATATGTGTACCTGGAGAAGCCTCTGATGATGCTAGGGTGTCTTTTTCTGTTTAGGGAGACATGTTCTGGCGGTTTAGTCAGGCTGGAGCTTGGACTGGTACCGTCTTGGCTTAGGGTCTTAGGGTGGTTGAGGTTGGCTTGCGCTGGGTTAGGGGCGGTGTTTGGCAGGGTGGAATTAGATGTGACGACGAGTAGGTCTTTGATCCGTCAGGTTTTGCAATTGCCAGGTCTGAGGTTGCAGGCAGGCTTCTGGCTGTTTATTTGCTTCAGGCAAAGCGACGCTTGGATAGGGGTTGTGTTGCTTTAGGGTTGGCATAGGCCGGGTTCGGGATCATGTTTCTCTGAACCGGGATGGAATGTAACATGATTTCTCGTGGGGGCTTTGCTTCGATTGATTGTTAGGTCCGTATTGGGCCGGCTTTGTGCTTTGGGGCAACGCTCCAAAACCAACCCACACCAGCCGAAGAAAAAACACCTGCTGACCAATCGAGCGACTGACCAGGGCTAGGCAAAACACCAAAACATTCCGCGGATGGGAGTGTAGGTACCTGCACAAAGGGTCGAGCTTCTTTTTAGTTCTACAATCCCAAAGGGCTCCCTTTTGAAAACAACATTCTGATTCGAGGAACCAAGCACAGAAAAGAGCGAAACCACGTGTTTTGGTCGGAATTTTGCCACATTTCCTACAGATGTGCATGTAATCATGTAGTTGGCCAGCTCAAGAAGCAGTATGGGACTCCAGAGACATGGCTGACGACTCAAGGGGCATGGAATCCCCACGTTGGGTGCCACGAGAATCTGCCCACCCAAAGTCAGGGACGCAAAGAAAAACCTCCAAGGGAAAAGCTGTACGTACGGCCGAGCTTGATTCACTCATACCATTATCATACCATGCCTATTTGGCAAAGCGGCTGGACTTCGAATCCAAGGAAAAGACAGTTCAGAATGACCACAACGCCAAAGAAGATGTCAAAGGACGGATGCTTGACCAGTCTCCTCGGCACGAGATGAGCAAGAATGCCATCAACCCATGTGGACCTACCTTCAAGTACTCAGATGTTTCCTGGTCATATGTCTGAAAACAAAACATTGGCAAATACTGAATCTTCCTCCTTGGAAAAACTGTATTGCGCAGCACACAGAGTAAATGTGGTAATCATTTGGAGGAGGGTACATGCATCATGCTGAGCCAAACCTGCGCCTGATGCATGGAAAGTCACCCATTTTGGGCGAGCCCACAAAGCTTCGAACATTCATTCATTTGTCAGGACAGCCGGGATGGCCTGGCTTGTAAAATCTCAAGAAGCAGCAACAAAACAAAAACACATTGATCATTAGCCCTTAGAAAGGCCTTAGATTGGACAGCCCTATTGCGTCATAGGCAGGGACTATTGCAGCATGAGGCCAATTGAAGGGCTCATGTAGGCTGCAAACACCAGACATTTCTGAGTTGGAACAACCGCGTCTTCAATACGGCCTATGTGAAGATGATACAACACTGTTGTACAACACAAGTCCATCCATCGTTTGGACTCTCCAACAAGGTTCGAAAAGGAAAGCACCCCTCTTGGGTCGACGGTCACAAATGTTGAGCACCAAGAGCTACTCACCAACCTGAATTGACGGAACCCCACCTGCAGCCTCCTTCAATACATTAATTGTTGCTCGAAGTATTTCTGCTCGTGACAACCTGTTCTAAAATAAATGTACGCTTCAACAAAAATCGCTCGAGTTGTCAGCATGCGCCCGTCGGAACCCATTCCCTGTACC